GCTTAGGGCTTCACTACGCATAAGACCCCAGCAGGACAGGGGGGGGGAGAAAATTGGGAAGGTAGAATCCCCCACGTCTTACAGTCGCCGAGGTTGAGAAACACTGCACTAGATGGCTGAGTTGGGGTTCCCTGCACATTGCAGAGGGGGGATTAGGGGACCCCTGTGTGCGGTCCCCTGTGCAAACGCAGCCTCCGGACCCTTGGCCTGAGCTCTTCTCTCAGGCGAGATTTGCAAACGGTGGAAAGTGGGGATGGACGGTGGGTCCAGACCCCCCATGTTGCACGGCCGAGGAGGATGGGCATTGCAGTCCAACGCGTCTGGAGGCGACGGGGGGGCGGGGGGCAGGCGCCCATCTTTCCGCACGGATCTGCCCGCGTTGCAGCCTCCTCCGCCCCAGGCCTTCCCGGGGCTCACGCCTTCTTGATGTCCGCATCCTTGGCGCTGCGGGTCAGCTCCAGCACCGCGTAGTAATCCTGCCCCATCGCGGCCTGCTTTGCCGCGGCTCTCCCGTTGCTATGGCTCCCGCCCCCGCCGCCGCCGCCGCCGCCGCCCGCGCGGGGCATGACGGGCGCTGTAGTCTCGCGTCCCCGGGCGGTTCGTGGGCTGTCGAGGACTCCGCGCTGCCGTCCTGGGGAGCCGGGAGCTGCCGGGGGAGCCCCATGGCGGGGCGCGGGGCTGCGTTTCCCGGGGGAATCTGCTCTTCTGGGCAAGAAGGGGCGTCCCCTGGGAGGGGCGGTTTGCAACCGCTTCGGGGCAGGGGACGAAAAGCCTGGGACGCAGAGGGTGCTGGAAAAGGTTGGGGAGGAGGCGGATCCCCCGGGAACGCAATTTCCTGGCGGGATTTGCGATAGTCTGAAGTTCTGCAAGGGGCGGTGGCCTGCTTTGTCTTGGATGGGAGACCACTAGGTGACCCCCAGACTAACTGGGAAATGGGCGGGGAGAAGCAGTGGCAAACCCCTCCATTATTGTTGCTGATGAAACCCCCTGAGGTTCACTTAGGGGAGTCTGGATGGAGAGGGCAAGCCTTGGTGCCCTTAGGAGCTGAACTCGACTCAGTGGCACGGGAGACAACGGATTAATGCATTAACCGAGTTAAGCACCTTGTGGGAACACAGTGTGCAGACTTAGTGGTCCAGTCCAATATTCTCCTTATCCGCTCATATTGTAAAAATATAACCATTCTACAAAGGGCACCCCATGACCTTGCTCTCCATCTTGGATCCCTAACCCCATAATCCCCAGTCAGCATGGCCAGCTAAGTGTTGCAGCAAACTGGTCTCTGCCCAGTTCAGGCCCCTCCAGACGTGCCAACGATGTCAAGCTGAGAGGTCCAGAAACTAACAGAAAGACATCAAGCGGACAAAATTAAGGGCAACTTGCTAGGGTTCCTTCTTGTTGTACACCTCCCAGAGTCGCCTTGTGTGAGATGGGCGGCCATATAAATGTGATTCATAAATACATTAATACATAAACAAAAATTCTTGGTGGCCACCCATCCCCAGGAAAAACACAGCCATTGGGGTAATTCTTAGGCTACGTTGCCCCAACATTGTAAGGACAGGAGACTACAAGGAAATCCTGCCTGGAGGCTAAGCTGGGGCATTGAAAAAATAACTATTTCTGTACCTCGAGAAAGAAATCATCGAAACAACTTCCAGACAACACCAGTGAATACAAGAGAACATACTGGTAAACTACACAATGCGCACGGGAGCGCCTGCTTAGATATTGCTCTCCCCAGCCCCCCTTCCCCTTACTGAACATCCCGATTTGCACAGTGCACTAAACTCCAACGATGTGTGATTTGGTCCACAAGCCCCATTAAAAAACTGGTGACTCTGCACAATAGGTGAGCCCTGTCACTGATCTGGGGGGGAGGCATGATGAATTCCTGTGTTTTTCTAATCATTTTTCGGGGCGGGGTCGCTCCATGCTGAAAACAACCTGTAAAAGTTCAGTACGGCTGTACGGTGTTGGTCCGAGCGTTCGGGGTTAGGGAGGTCGATGCAGCCTTGTCTGGTAAATTGCAGCTTTTATGGTTTTCTGTTGACTTTTAAATCAAGCCTGACTCTTTGCAAGCCTCGTTTTATTACCTCTTTACGCTATTATACGGGGCTGCAAAATGCTTCGGCAGCCACTCTCTTTGTTTACTGTTCAACCGTTTTGTTCCTGGGCTGACTTAAAAGCCAAGAGGCTGATGCTTTTGGGGTTAAAGATAGACTAGGAAAACATAATTATAGGATGGTACTTTATCAGCAGTTCAAATATATCAGCAGCTGCAGTCTGGGAAATGTTTTCCTGGACCTTTTCCCATGCGTTTACCTTTAAGTAGTTACCTATATCGCATGCACCCAGCCTCCTATTCCCGCTTGAACAAACACGGGCACCCCCAAATAAATGGGGAGTCTCAAGATTCCCAAACAAGACGGTGCAACGGCTGAGCTGCTGAGCATTGTACCCGTGGTGTGATTTTTCTTGGAAAAAATTAAGTTTGGGGGATGTTTCACTTGGAGAAGACTGGATGGTCACTCTCGTCAAGTAGCTGAAAGGAATTTTTGCTGAAGCTGCAGCTGAATTGATCTGAGTTTCAGAAGACAGGCCAAGAATCAAAAGGGTTAAATTATAAGGCAGAAGAATTTCCTAATCATAAGACCTGTTCAAGAATGAATGGAGGTGTTTAAACAGAGGCTGAAGAGCCGCTGGCTGAAGATGCTGTAGTACGGATTTCTGCACTGGGCAGGGATTGGATTAGAGCAGTGTTTTTCAACCTTGACAACTTTAAGATGTATGGACTTCAACTCCCAGAATTCCCCAGCCAGCATAGCTGGCTGGGGAATTCTGGGAGTTG